TAGGATCCTATGGTTCTCTTATTATTATTATTATTACTGTTATTATTATTGACACAAAAGCACAGTATGTCACAGCAAACGAACTCTATATGCTGGATTTCGTGTCACCAAATCACAAGTTGAACACTTCCCAAATAATAATAATAATAATAATAATAATAATAATAATAATAATTATTATTATTATTATTATTATTATTATTACTGTTAATACTATGACTCTTATTATTATTCCGCTGCTTTAGGTGACATTTACGAAGCGCAAGTTTGGCCTGATGAAGAAGGCGTACGAGCTGAGCGTGCTGTGCGACTGTGAGATTGCGCTCATCATCTTCAACCACTCCAACAAGCTCTTCCAGTACGCCTCCACCGACATGGACAAGGTCCTCCTCAAGTACACCGAGTACAACGAGCCCCACGAGAGCCGCACCAACGCCGACATCATCGAGGTGCCCACATGGGGTGGACTGGGTCTCCTTTGGGAGGGGGGGGGTCCTGCCCCCTCCGGACCTCTATCTAGACCCACCCTCTTGGGCTGCCCAGATCTGTGTCCACCTCCATCTCTGTATCTCTAGCTACATCCATCCAGTCTGTCTCTCTATCCGTGCATCAGTCTGTCCATTCGTTTATTTGTTCATCCTATCTATTTATCTATCATCCGTCCATCCATCCATCCATGATATCTATCTATCTATCTATCTATCTATCTATCTATCTATCTATCTATCTATAGCTATGCTTATATCCATCCTATTTGTCTATCTACCCTATCTATCTATAGCTATGCTTACTATCTATCTATCTGTCTATCTATCTATCTATCTATCTATCTATCTATCTATCTATCTGGATGGATGGATGGATGGATGGATGGATAGATGGATAGATAGATAGATAGAGATAGATAGATAGATAGATAGATAGATAGATAGAGAAATGGATTGATGAATGGATGGATGGCTGGGTGGATGGATGGATGGATGGATTGGTGAATGGATGGATGGATGGATGGATGGATGGATGGATGGATGGATAGATAGATAGATAGATGGATGGATGGATGGGTGTGGGTAGTGTGATGGATGGATGGATGGATGGATGGATGGGATGATGGATGTATGGATGGAGGGATAGATGGTTGATTGGATGAATGGATGGATAGTAGATAGATAGATAGATAGATAGATAGATAGATAGATAGAGAAATGGATGGATGGATAGAGAAAAGGATTGGTGAAATGGATGGATGGATGGATGGATGGATGGATAGATAGATAGATAGATAGATAGATAGATAGATAGATAGATAGATAGATAGACTATCCTACCTACCTACCTATTGCTATGCTTAATCCATCCTATCTATCTATTATGTATCTGTTGATCTGTCTGTCCATCTATTCATCCTATCTATCTATCCATCCATCCATGATATCCATCTATAGCTATTCTTATATCCTGCTTGCCTGCCTGCCTATCTGTCTGTCTGTCTGTCTATCTATTGCTATGCTTAGATAGGATGATCAATCTATCTTATCTATTATCTATCCATCCATCCATCCCTGCTATCTATCTATTCATCTATTTTCTCTATCGATCGATCGATCGCTATGCTTATATCCATCCTATCTATCTACTGTCTATTTGGATGTATTGATTAGATAGATAAACTATCTATCTGTCTGTCTATCTATCTATCTATCTATCTATCTATCTATCTATCTATCTTATCTATGTATCCATTAATTCATCCATCTTGTCTACCCAGCTGCCTACCTGCCTATTTACCCATCCATCCTACTGATCTATCGTTATGCTTATATCCTTCATATTATCTGTCCATCCATCCATCCATCCATCCATATAAGCTATACTTATATCCATCCTATCTCTCTCTCTCTCTCTCTCTCTCTCTCTCTCTCTCTCTCTGGGTTGTTGTAGGTTTTTCAGGTTGTATGGCCATGTTCTAGAAGCATTCTCTCCTGATGTTTTGCCTGCATCTATCTGGATGGATGGATAGAGGATGGATCTATCTATCTATCTATCTATCTATCTATCTATCGCTATGTTTACATCATCCTATCTATCTACTGTCTATCTGGATGAATGGATGAGATAGAGTGGATGAGATAGAGAGAGAGATAGACTATCCAACTATCCATCCATCTATCCATCTATCTATCTATCTGTCTGTCGGTCTTTCTATCTGTCTTTCTTTCTGTCTATCTGTCCATTCATTCTTCCTTCCTTCCTATCCATCCAGCTATCCTTCTACAATTCTCTCATCCCTTGGGGTGTGACTGGATGATCTCTGGGGGCCCCTGATGACTCTGTCCAGGAGGCCAACCTTGTTGTTGTTGTTGTTGTTGTGCAGACGCTGCGCAAGAAGGGCTTCAACGGGTGCGACTCCCCGGAGCCGGACGGGGAGGACTCCATTGACCAGAGCCCGCTCCTGGAGGACAAGTACCGCAAGGCCAGCGAGGACCTCGACCTCCTCTTCAAGAGATACGGGGTCAGCCAACATCACCACCACCATCATCCCAATACTAACAAACATGATCACAGCCTCCTCCTTTGGAGGCTTTGAAACAGAGGCCGCCTGGCCATCTGTCGGGAGGGATTGGATGGTGCCCTTGCCTGGAAGAACAAAGCGGGGTTTGACTTCATGGCTAGTAAAAATGCATATTATTAATTGTTAGCCACTTTTGGGAGAAAAGCAGAAGTAAATAAATACAATACATTATTATTATTGTTGTTATTGTTATTATTTATTGTTAGCCACTTTGAGTCCCTCTATTGGGAGACAGGTGCGATTAAAAGTACATTATTATTATTATTACTATTATTATTATTATATAATTAATATATTGTTACATTATTATTATTATTATTATTATTATTGTATAATTAATATATTGTTACATTATTATTGTTATTGTTATTATTTATTGTTAGCCGCTTTGAGTCCTTCTATTGGGAGAAAGGTGCGATTAAAAATAAATACGTTATTATTATTATTATTATATAATTAATATAGTTACATTATTATTATTGTTGTTATTATTATTTATTGTTAGCCATATTGAGTCCCTCTATTGGGAGAAAGGTGCAATTAAAAATAAATACATTATTATTATTATTATTATTATTATATAATTAATATATTGTTACATTATTATTATTATTATTATTGTATAATTAATATATTGTTACATTATTATTGTTATTGTTATTATTTATTGTTAGCCGCTTTGAGTCCTTCTATTGGGAGAAAGGTGCGATTAAAAATAAATATGTTATTATTATTATTATTATTATTATTATTATATAATTAATATAGTTACATTATTATTATTGTTGTTATTGTTATTATTGATTGTTAGCCATATTGAGTCCCTCTATTGGGAGAAAGGTGCAATTAAAAATAAATACATTATTATTATTGTTATTATATAATTAATATATTGTTACATTATTATTATTGTTATTGTTATTGATTGTTAGCCACTTTGAATCCCTCTATTGGGAGAAAGGTGTGATTAAAAATATATATTATTATCATCATATAATTAATATACTTTCATTATGTATTATTTTTATATATTATATTGCTATATTACTATATCATAAAAATTAATGTATTATTACATAAGTCACATTTTCTATTATTTTAATAGTATTACTGTTATATATTATTATATTCTTTTATATTAAAATTTTTTAAAATACATACCGTGAACACACGATTTTTTTGAATATATTTTTATATTTTAATTTTTATATTTTTTACTTTTGTAAAATTGTAAAAATAAAAAATCTTTATAAAAAATAAAAAATATTATTTTATATTAGTATGTTATTTTAAATTTTAATATATTATTCTAATATTATTTTTATTCATTTATTTATTTACGACATTTATATGCCGCCATTCTCATCCCAAAGGAGACTCAGAGCGGATAATAAATAATAATAATAATAATAATAATAATAATAATAATTATTATTATTATTATTATTATTATGGAATCCTAGACTTGGAAGAGACCTGGTGGTCTATCATCCTACTTCTGCCAAGAAGTAGGAAAATTGCATTCAAAGCACCCCCGACAGATGGCCATCCTGTTTAACATTATTATTTATTATTATTATTATTACTATTATTATTATTATTATTATTATTATTATTATTATTATTATTATTATTATTATTATTGACAATCCAATAGGTCCATCCCTTTGACCTATTGAAGATGGGGCGTGGTGCTTCTGAAGGAAGCCAGGGGAAGGTCAATGGGAGGAGCGGTCCAGGGCTTTCAACCCCTTTGGCCTCCCCGCTGACCTTCTTCTATGCTGCTTTCTCCCTCTCCCTCCCTCTTTGTCTTTGTCTTTTTGTCTTTGCAGTCTGCAGTGCCGGCCCCCAACTTTGCCATGCCAGTGACTGTCCCGGTGAGCCAGTACAGCAGCCCCTCTGGAGGGGCCCTGGTCACTCAGTCGCTGGTCACTTCCTCGCTGACCGACCCGCGGCTGCTTTCGCCACAACCGCAGCAGCAGCAGCAGCAAACACAGTCGCTGCAGCGCAATGCCGTCTCCCCGGGGCTGCCCCAGAGGCCGGCCAGCGCAGGTATGGACAAGGGCCAAAATGGGATTTTTGGAGAGGGGGGCACCACAGGGACGGTCAGCAAAGGTCAAGACCCTTGACCTTTCCCTTTCTGCCCCTGACTCGCAGGAGCCATGCTGGGAGGAGACCTCAACAACACCAACGGTGCCTGCCCCAGCCCGGTTGGTGAGTAGCACGCATGCGTAGACGTACATACGTCGTATAGATATATACACATACCATTTAAACACACACATATATATATACACACACATATATACCATTTAAACACACGTATATAGCATTTAATAATAATAATCTATATAAATAAAAATATAATATTTCATATTCTATATTATTATTTTATATCATTTTATTATGTTATATGTTATTTTTATATTAATATAATAATATATTAATATATATAATAATAATATTAATATAATAATATTGTTAGATTTACTATTCTATATTCTTATCTATATAAATAAAAATGTAATGTTGGTATATATACACATATAAACACAAGTACACAAATATATACAAGTATATACACATGCACACATACATTCACACATACATATATAAATATACACATGCACACACATATACATACACACAAATATGCATATAGACAAGCACACACTTATACACAATATGCATATACACATGTAAGCACAAATACAGATATATACAAACATATACACATGCACACATACATTCATATATACAAATACATTTGCACACACATATACATATACATACACACTAATATGCATATAGACAAGCACACGCATGTACACAATGTGCATATACACATATAAACACAAATACACAAATATATGCAAACATATACACATGCACACATACATACATATATACATATACACGTGCACACACATATACATACACATACACACAAATATGCATATAGACAAGCACACACTTGTACACAATATGCATATACACATATAAACAAATACACAAATATATACAAACATATACACATGCACACACATTCATATATACATATACACGTGCACACACATATACATATACATACGCACAAATATGCATATTAACAAGCACACACATATACACACATGTAAACATAAATACACAAATATATTCAAACATATACACATGCACACATACATATATACCTATACACATGCACCCATATATACATATACATACACACAAATATGCATTTAGACTAGCACACGCATATACACAATATGCATATACACATGTAAACACAAATACACAAATATATACAAACATACACGTGCGCACACATACATATACATACACATAAATATGCAATATACACAAATATGCATATAGACAAGCACACGCATATACACAATATGCATATACACATATAAACACAAGTACACAAATATATACAAACATATACACATGCACAAATACATTCACACATACATATATACATATACATGTGCACACAGGTATACATACACACAAATATACATATATATACATATGCATATAGACAAGTACACACATGTACACAATATGCATATAAACAAAAAAAATAGTAACAATCGTGAGTAACGATAGCGATGTAATGATTGTGATGTCCAGCGGTAATTGTGATGTCCTTCCGCTCGTCCTCTTCCTCGTAGGGAACGGCTACCTGAGTGCCCGGGCCTCCCCGGGGCTCCTCCCCCCGGTCTCCAATGGCAACAACCATCACCACGGCAACGTCCTGGGGGCAAAGGTCATCCCGGCCAAGTCCCCCCCTCCTCCCCCGCAGCCCCCTCCCTCCCCCCAGATGGGCGGGGCCGGCGGCGGAAGGAAGGCCGAGGAGCCAATCCGCATCGTCATCACCTCGCAGGGCGGCGGCGGCAACGGAGGGAAGGGCCTCATCCAGCACCTGGTGAGTCCGGGAAGGGGGCGGGGCTGTGACCCCCTTTGGGGCGGAGCCAAGCCCGGCCAATGGGAAGGTGGAGTCTCTTTGGAATGAATGAGTGAGAAGGGGGCGGGGCCTGCGTACCGCTTGCCCCTCCCACAAGGCTAACCAGTTTCTTTTGAGTGAGAAGGGGCGGGGCCAAGCCCAGCCAATGGGAAGGCAAGAGTCTCTTTAGAGTCGATGTGTGAGAAGGGGGCGGGGCCTACGTACTTCTTGCCCCTCCCACAGGGACAGCCAATGAGAAGGAAGGGGCCTCTGAAGTAAACGTGTGGGAAGGGGGTGGAGCCAGGGTCAGCCAATGAGGAAGCAGGGATCTCTTTGGAACCAATGACGGAGAAGGGGGTGGAGCCAGGGCCAGCCAATGGGAAGTGAGTGAGTGAAAAGGGGTGGAGCCTGGGTGCTCTTTGCCTCTCCCACAGGGCCGGCCAATGAGAAGTGATTGAGTGAGAAGGGGCGGAGCCAGAAAGTATTTGCCACGCCCCCTCAGGGCGGAGCCAAGGCCGGGCAATTTGGAAACTGAGAAGGGGGTGGAGTCAGAAAGTTTTGCTATGCCCTCAAGGAGGGGCAGAGCCAAGACCAGCCAATGAAAAAGCGGACTCTCTTTGGAGTAAATGAATGAGAAGGGGCGGAGCCTGGGAGCGCTTTGCCCCTCCCACACGTCCAGCCAATGAGAAGACGGATGGGAGGAGCATGAAAAGCACTTGCCACTCCCTCCCCAGGGGGGCGGAGCCAGAGCAAATAAGTGGAAGAGGGGGTGGAGCCTGAAAGCCTTAGCCACACCCCTCAGGGAGTCTCTCTAGAAATTTCTTCCTGGGGGAGGGTGGAGCCCGAAAACCACTTGCTCCTCCCACAAAGGGGTGGAGCCAGGGCAAGCCAATGGGAAGGCAGGGGTCTCTGAGTTGTCAGTGAGAAAGGGGTGGAGCCAGGAAGCCTTTGCTATGCAACACCCCTCAAAGGGGTGGAGCCAAGGCCAGCCAATGGGAAGGCAGGGCCTCTGGAGTAAACATGTGGGAAGGGGGCGGAGTCTTGTGCCCCTTGCCCCTCCCACAAGGCCAGCCAATGAGAAGACAAGGCCTACGCCTCAGGTCTTGGCAACTATAGTGATTGTCCCTCCCACAGGGGGCGGAGTCAGAGCCAACCAATGGAAATCTGTTGTGTGAGAGAGAAGGGGCAGAGTCTGAGTAGCGTTTGCCCCCTCCCGTAGGAGGTGGAGCCAGGGCCAGCCAATGAGAAGGCTGGGGGCCACTTCCTGGTGAAAAATGACCGAGAAGGGGCGGAGCCTGAGTACCATTTGCCCCTCCCGTGGGAGGTGGAGCCAGAGCCAGCCAATGGGAAGGCTGGGGGCCACTTCCTGGGAGTCAAGCTGAAGCCCCATTGGCTCTTTCTTTCATTATTCAGGCCAGGATCCGCTTTGGTTTTCAGTCCGAACTTGGTCATGAGTGGCCCTTGGAGGCCATCTATATACATAAAAATGCAATTTTAGTTTGTGGGATTAGCATAACTCCAAAACCACTGGGCGAATGGACACCAAATTTGGACACAAGACCCCTCTCAGGCCAGGGAGTGACCATCACTCACAAAAACACTGAAAAACACAACAGAAGGGACTTAAAAAGCCAAAATCTATATACATAAAAATCTAATTTTAGTTCGTGGGATTAGCATAACTCCAAAACCACTGGGCGAATGGACACCAAATTTGGGCACAAGACCCCTCTCAGGCCAAGGAGTGACCATCACTCACAAAAATCACCGAAAAACACAACAGAAGGGACTTAAAAAGCCAAAAGACAAAAAAAAATACATTACAATGTATATGCAAAACCACATGTATACACATATACACAAATATTGTCGAAGGCTATTTGTGTATATTATATATACACAAATATATACACATATATACATACACATATACACAAAGTGGGCCACAGCAACACCTGGCAGAGGATGGCTAGTCATATTATATTATATTATATTATTATTATATTATAATATTATTATATAACACCTGGCAGAGGATGGCTAGTCATATTATATTATATATTATATTATATTATATTAATATATTATATTATAATATTTAATATTATATTTATATATATTATATTAATTATATTATTATATTATTATTATTATTATTATATTATTAATTAATATAATTATATATTATATATTTATTTATATATATATATTATATTATTTATTATTTATATTATATTTATTATATTATATATATTATAATTTATATTATAATATTATATATTATTCTTATTTTATATGATATATTTATTGTGATATTATAATATTATATATTATATTATTATATATATTAATTATATTATAATATTATTATATTATATTATATTATATTATATTACATTATCTGAAGGTAACCCTTGCTTTGCTTCTTCCCCTTTTGCTCCCAGACGGAGGACCACTTGGACCTGGTGAGTGCACACTTCCCGGAGTGCAAGTGTGTGCTTGCCCTTTGCATGCAACTACCACTCCATGGAGAATGTTTTGCAACACTCGCGCCCATCATCCTCCGCCCTGCAGTTTGATTCCCATTGCATCTCCCAATCCAGTGGGATGCTGGGACTTGTAGTGCCCCACTGTGGGATCGGGCCGGTTTGCACGGGCTTCCCGAGGGGCCACTCCACCCCATCCAATGCATGCACACCCACCCCTTCCCCCCACTTCCCATATTGATGGAATCCACGCAAGGCCTCTGCCTGGATTCTCCGCACTACAAATCCCAGCAGCCTCTAGTCCTCTCCAGTTGCTTCTCATCACAAAACAGGAAGTGTGGTAGTTGTTTACAAAATCTGTCCTTGTTCTATGTTAGGCTGTATTTATGTCGAAAGGCACGCCAGTTGAACCAGTTGCGTCCAGTTAACACACCATTGAAACCAATTTGGAAATGTTCCCGGGGCCTGACGTTCTCTTTATCTCTCCCTCCCTTCCTTCCTTCCTTCCTTCCTTCCTCCCTCCCTCCCTCCCTCCCTTCCTTCCTTCCTTTTCTCCCTCACTCTCTCATTGCGCCTTCCGTCTTTTCCTCCTTTCCTTCCTTTTGTCCGCTCTCTCTCTTCCTCTCCTTCCCTTCCTTTCATCCCTCCCCCGCTCACCTTTCCTTTCTTCCACCTTTCTTTACTTCCTTCTCCCCTCCTTTTTCTTTCCTCCTTCTTTTCCCCTTTCCTTCATTCCTTCCTTCCTCTCTTTCTTTCCTTCCTTCCCTCTCTTCCTCTCCCTTCCTCTCTTTTCTTTCTTCCTTCCCTCCTTCTTCCTTCCTTCCTCTTTCTTTCTTTACTAACTTCCTAACTTCCTTCTTCCCATTCTCTCTCCCTTCCTCTTTGCATCTCCTTTTCTTTTCCTTCCTTTCATCTCTCCATTCATCTCCCCTCCCTCTCTTTCTTCTTTTTCCCCTTTTTTTCTTTCTCTTCTTCCCTTCCATCCATCTTCCACCTTTCCTTCCCTCCCTCTCACGCTTCCTTTCTTTCTCTCCCTTTATTTTTCCTTCCCTCCCTCCCTTCCATCTATCCATCCATCTTTCCTCTCTCCTTCCTTCCCTCACTCACCTTTCCTTTCTTCCACCTTTCTTTACTTCCCTATCTCCTTCCTTTGTTCTTTCCTCCTTTTTATCCCTATTTTCTGGCCTTTCCTTTCATTCCCTCCTTCCTCTCTTTCTCTCTTCCTTTCCACATCTTCCTTCCCTCCTTCCTTCCTTCTCTCCTTGCCTCCTTCCTTCCTTCCTTCTTCCCTCCTTTCCTCTTCCTCCTTCTTTTCTTTTCCTTCATTCCTTCCTTCCTTCCTCTTCCTTCCTTCTCTCTTTCCTTCCTCTTCCTCTCCCTTTTTTTTTTCTTCTGTCTTTCTCTCCTTTCTTATCTACCTTCTTTTTCCTTCCCCTCTCCTCCCTCTCTTTCTCCTTTCTTTTCCTCCCTCCCTCCCTTCCTCTTTTCCCTCTTTCTCCCTTCCCTTCCTTCTCTTTCTTTCTTTCTTCCCTTCCATCCTTCTCTTTCCTTCCCTTCTCTTCTTTCTCTCTTCTTTCTTCCCTTCCCTCTTTCTTCTTCCTTCCTTCTTCTCTCTCTTCTTCCTCCTCTCCTTTCTTTCCTCCCTCCCCCCTTGCCTTCCATCCTTTTGTCCTTCCTTTCTTCTCTCTTCCTTTTTTCCTTTCTCTCTTCCTTCCCTCCTCTCCTTCCTCCTTCCCTCCCTCACTGCCTTCTTTCCTCCCTTTCGTGTGACTGCCTTGGTGCTCTTTATATTCGTGTCAAATCCTTTCTTCTGTCACGGCATCCCGAACTTCCTATCTATGTGCCCCCTATACTTCCTCTTTCTCGTCTTTCCTTCCTTCCTATCTATCCATCTTCCTTCCTCCATCCATCCATCCATCCATCCATCTATCCATTCCTCCATCCATTCCTTCTTCTTCCCTCCTTCCTCTACCTTTCTTTCCTTCCTTCCATCCATCCATCCATCCCTGTCTTTGTCTTCCTCTCTTTCTGGTTCTTCACCTGTCTTTCTCCTTTCCTTCCATCCATCCACCCATCTTCTCTTCCTCCCTTCCGCACTCCCTCTCTTTCTCCCTTTCTTCTTCCTTCCTTCCTTCCTTCCTTCCTTCCTTCCTTCCTTCCTTCTCTTCCTTCCTTCCTATTCCTTCCCTTCCTTCTTCTCATTCCTTTCCCTCTTTCCTTTCTCTTCCTTCCACCTTCCTCTCCTACCCTTTCTTTTCTCTCTTTTTCCTTTCCATCCTTTCCTTTCCTTCCTTCCTTCTCTTTTTCCTTCCTCCTTCCCTTTTGTCTTTTCTTCCTTCTCTCATCCTCATCCTCTCTTTCTCCCTTTCTCCTTCCATTCATCTCTTCCTCCCCTTTCTCCTTACTTCCTTCTCTCTTTCCTTCCTCCTTCTCTCTCTCTCCCTCCTTCTCTCTTTCAGCAGAACCACCAGCCTCAGCAGCAGCAGCAGCAGCCTCGCCTGGGCCCGTCCCTCTCGCAGGGGCCCCCTCACCCGCTGGCCACTCACCCCCCCGTGGTCTCGGTGGCGCCCCCCTCCCTCCTGACCCAGGGACTGCCCTTCTCCGCCATGGCCTCCGCCTACAGCTCAGGTCAGTCCACACAAGAATTACTATTATTATTATTATTATTATTATTAGATCCACAGCAGACAAGGTCACTCTGCTGGTTGTTGTTTTGGATCACATGTCGGACACTTCCCAAGTGCAGCTGACAGGTGGTAATCTTGTACCGCCAATTGTTTTTAAGTGCAGGCCAGGGTCTTGAGGCACTGCACCCCGTGTTCCGATCACCAGTGGGACCCCCTTGACTGGCTTGTGCCGGAGTCTCTGTAGTTCGATCTTTAAATCAATATTATTATTATTATTATTATTATTATTATTATTACTAAATCATCATCATCATCATTATTTTTATTGTTATTATTACTAGTGGCATGTAACAAAATAAAAACAACAACAATAATAATTAGTGTCATACAGCTTAGGTGAGTCAGCAATGACCCTCGACCCCTTCCTTCCCTCCTTTGGCATCCTTCCCTCCTTCTCATATCAGAATTATTATTATTATTATTATTATTATTATTATTATTACTAACATCATGCAGCAGCAGAAGAAGCTGTTATTATTATTATTATTATTATTTGTGGCATGCAGTGGCAAAGAAAAAAACAATTATTATTATTGGTGGCATGCATTGTCAAAAGAAATTTTTATTGTTATTATTATTATTGTCATGCAGCAGCAAAAGAAACAATTATTATTATTATTATTAGTGGCATGCAGTAGCAAAAGAAATTACAATTATTATTGTCATGCAGCAAAAGAAACAATTATTATTATTATTATTGGTGGCATGCATTGTCAAAATAAATTATTATTATTATTATTATTATTGTCATGCATCAGCAAAAGAAACAATTATTATTATTATTATTATTATTAGTTGCATGCAGTAGCAAAAGAAATTATTATTATTATTATTGTCATGCATCAGCAAAAGAAACCATTATTATTATTATTATTATTATTAGTGGCATGCATCAGCAAAAGAAACATTATTATTATTATTAGTGGCATGCAGTAGCAAAAGAAATTATTATTATTATTATTATTATGATTATGCATCAGCAAAAGAAACAATTATTATTATTATTATTGGTGGCATGCAGTAGCAAAAGAAATTATTATTATTATTATTATTATTATTATTGTCATGCATCAGCAAAAGAAACTATTATTATTATTATTATTATTATTAGTGGCATGCGGTAGAAAAAGAAATAATAATAATAATAACTATTGTCATGCAGCAGCAAAAGAAACTTATTATTATTATTATTGGTGGTAGTAGTAGTAGTAGCGTGCAGTAGCAAAAGAAACTATTACTATTATTATTGTTATTATCATCATGCAGCGGCAAAATAAACTTATTATTAGTGGCATGCAGTAGCAAAAGACAAAAACTATTATTATTATTATTATTATTATGAGTGTGTTATTGGGGGCCCTTCCTTCCTTCCTTCCTTCCTTCCTTCCTTCCTTCCTTCCTTCCTTCCTTCCTTCCACGGGTGAGTGTGTCCTCCTTCCTTCCTTCCAACCCTCGGCCCGGCTTTTGTTATTTATTCTTATTTGTCATTTATTAACCGCCAAATAATAATAAATAACAAAAGCCGGGCCGAGGGTTGGAAGGAAGGAAGGAGGACACACTCACCCGTGGAAGGAAGGAAGGAAGGAAGGAAGGGCCCCCAATAACACACTTTTGTGGCTGTTTGGAGTCCCCCCTTTCCCCTTCCTGACGGGTTTTGACAGCGGAGCGTCTGGTGGGGCCACCCCAAAACCACCGCCGCCGCCGCCCCGAAGAAGAGTGGGACCGGACCCCGTTCTCCCCGCTTGGCCCCAAAGACGGCGGGCGGCAGGAGGATCCGGTCCGGCTGCTTTTGGGGGGATCCCCGCCCCGTCCCCTCCCTCCCTCCCTCCTCGGAATGCCTTCTCGGGGAGAAGAGCCCGCCTGGTCTGATTCCAGGGCGGGAGACAGAAACTCGGGGCGTCGGGAGACCCGAAAGGGGGGACGCCCAAGGCAAACGAGCCTCTTTGTCCCCAAACGCTTCCCTCTGACACGTTCTGGGTTCCCGTTTCGAGGCCATGGCGGAACATTGACTCGGCAACGCCTTGGCAATCCCTCACGACTATTATTATTATTATCGGGGTGTCCTAATATTATATTATATATACGATACGAGTGTCAGGAGCGACTTGAGAAGCTGCAAGTCACTTCTGGTGTGAGAGAATTGGCCGTCTGCAAGGACATTGCCCAGGAGGCGTTGCCCGCGTGTGTTACCATCCTGTGGGAAGCTTCTCTCGTTGAGCTGCAGCTGACAGAGGGAGCTCAACCGTCTCTCTCTGGATTCGAACTGCTGACCTGTCAGTCATCAGTCCTGCTGGCACAAGGGTCTAACCCACTCCGCCACTGGGGGTCAATGAGAGCCCACCATATTATTATTATTATTATTATTATTATTATTATTATGACACAAAAGCACACTATGTCACAGCAAACGAGGTCTAATACAAAATCCAGTATTATTATTATTATTATTATTATTATTATTATTATTATGACACAAAAGCACAATATGTCACAGCAAACTAGATCTATATGCTGGATTATTATTATTATTATTATTATTATTATTATTATTATGACACAAAAGCACACTATGTCACAGCAAACGAGGTCTAATACAAAATCCAGTATTATTATTATTATTATTATTATTATTATTATTATTATGACACAAAAGCACAATATGTCACAGCAAACTAGATCTATATGCTGGATTATTATTATTATTATTATTATTATTATTATTATTATGACACAAAAGCACACTATGTCACAGCAAACGAGGTCTAATACAAAATCCAGTATTATTATTATTATTATTATTATTATTATTATTATTATGACACAAAAGCACAATATGTCACAGCAAACTAGATCTATATGCTGGATTATTATTATTATTATTATTATTATTATTATTATG